ACGAACCAAACTTTTTTTTTCATCACCACACTACACATAATCTGAGGGGTGCTGAGAATGTCCCCGGACCCCACTAGGAAAGTTCGATATCTCGAGAACGGTGAAAGCACAAACGTCGGGATGAAGAGCACAAACAAGCACAGACGAAGCACAAACGAATGACCCATTTCGAATTTTAAAATGTTGAGGTGGGGGTGCTGAGCATGTCCCCAGCACCCCCACTTAGAAAGTTCGATATCTCGGGAACGGTGAAAGCACAAACGTCGGGATGAAGAGCACAAACAAGCACAAATGAAGCACAAAAGAATGGCCCACTTCAAATTTAAAATCTTTGAGGTGGGGGTGCTGAGCATGTCCCCGGCACCCCCACTTAGAAAGTTCGATATCTCGGGAACAGTGAAAGCACAAACGTCGGGATGAAGAGCACAAACAAGCACAAACGAAGCACAAAAGAATGGCCCACTTAGAATTTCAAAAATTGAGGTGGGGGTGCTTAACATGTCCCTGGCACCCCCACTTGAAAAGTTCAATATCTCGGGAACAGTGAAAGCACAAACGTCGGGATGAAGAGCACAAACAAGCACAAACGAAGCACAAACGAATAGCCCACTTCAAATTTAAAATCTTTGAGGTGGGGGTGCTGAGCATGTCCCCGGCACCCCCACTTAGAAAGTTCGATATCTCGGGAACAGTGAAAGCACAAACGTCGGGATGAAGAGCACAAACAAGCACAAACGAAGCACAAACGAATGACCCATTTCGAATTTTAAAATGTTGAGGTGGGGGTGCCGGGGACATGGAGCTCTCCGTTGCAGGGAACATCGACCCTAATCTGTTGTCCAGCTGTCATCTCGGCAACACATTTTCTTGGCTATTGCTTTCTTTAAATACACGTTCCCTTCAAACATAATACAATCTAAAATATTATTTACAAGACGTATAAAAAAAAAAAAGCTGCTCTGCTGTACAGTAGGTTACAAGTGGGTAACTGTATAATGGATGGTATTAAATTTTAATTCAATGATATAATATCATTCTATAAGAAAAACGATTCTGAGCGGAGACGGTATGTCAGTCTAGGTAGAAGACATAGGTATTATAATTATACTTATCTATGGTATTAAAAAAAAAATTACCTATAATAGGTACCCATAATAAATTCCAAATTAATAATATCACAATATCCATTAGGTACTTATAACGCGTTATACATCAACAACAAACCATGATACTATCATACATACCTATATAATAGTGTACTTTAGAAGTTTCAAGTATCCACAACAAAATAACTAAAATAGTTATTCTAGGTTTTTTTTTGTAATTTCGTCCAAATTTGAACTTAAAATGACTATAGAAATAAACTGTGATTATTTATTTTTCAGATTTTTGGTAACAGAATTAACTACTTACGTGGAATTATGTATTAAATTTTCAATCCTTATATATAAAAGTTGAACATTTTATAAATTTTTAACTACAAAATAATTATTTAATTTTAAATTTGATAAATTTTGTCAAAATTCGATCTTTAATGCTTATAAAAAAAAAATTTGCCAATGTATTTTTAATATTTTCATCTAATATTGTAACAATATATCAGGAGCCTTGTATTCAATTTTTACATTTTTTGGCCCAACATTTTATTGATATTTATAGAAAAAAAAACAAAAAAATTGAAAACTGAAAATGTCCGTAAACAGCTCAAAACAAGTAAAAATATTTTTAAAATGTTAACAAGTATAAGAATTGATAAAATAAACATTCAGTGAAATTTTCACGTATCTACAGTTATTTGTTTTTGAATTACAACTAAATAAGAAAATCGCTAAATGAGAAATCGAGTGAATATCCAATGTTGTAAAAATTTGAATTTCAAATGCTCATAAAAATTTAATTTGACTTTCTTATAGACATTTTTTTTTGATAAATGTAGATAGGAATCTTGTATTGCATTTTAAAACCTTAGATTTAAAAAAAAAATTTTTAGGAAATTCTTAACTCAAAATAATTTGATAATTTTCTTGATTTTTCCATATTTTGTCAATTTATGAACTTTAAATGCTTATAAAAAAAACTGTGATTAAGGATTTTTAATATTTTTCATCTGCCTTTGAAACAATATACTAGGAGCCTTCTATTACAATTTCATGCTTTTTCAACCAACAAATAAAATTTTATTGATATTTTTAGAAAAAATACTAAAAAAAAATTGAAAATGAAAATGTAAATGAAAAATATTAATTATAGCTCTAACTTTGTTACAAAGATCGGTCGTGTCAGCTAAGACGTAATACCTCGTAAGTCAAAAAAATTATACTTTAAGATATATGCATCAAAATGTTCAGAAAAAAATATGGAAAATTTTAATGGTTGTATCACGAATAGCTCATAATTTCCAAAGAGAATATAAACTTGGACGCAATATCGCGTTAATCAATTATCAGTATTTTATCAGAAATACATCGTACTCCACCTTGGAAAAAACTTGGCGCACTGATACCGGGGTAACTGCAAACAAATATTATATTAAAACTGTGGCCACAATACCTTCGATTTATAAATAGAAATAATAAATAGTTGTAATTATAAAATACTGATAATGATAATACTGATTATTTATTAAATCCAAGTTATCAATAGGGTTCGGATTTTAAGGCAAATGCCTTTCTTTTATTAATCATAATAGAATAATAATTTTTATACAAAAATGTGTTTCATTTAATTTCTTAGACGATGGATGCATTTTTTTTTTGCCATTTCACTTTTTTTTGCCTTTTATACTTAATACTTATAAATGTCTTTTTTGTGTTTAATTTTCAGTTGATTTTATAATTTTATACAAATGGGTTTTATTCTTCGCAATATTTATCGATATCACTGAACACTTTATCCATTATCGTCTTATCGAGTATTTGGTATGACCATAAAATTACCCGTACACATAAGATAATAATATGTTCGTAATGCGTAGATTCAAGATTATTCGTCAGTCCTCCCGCATTCGTCGACGCAATTATAATTGTCGTTCAATAATTTTTCCAAGCGTTTATTTTTAATTATGCCAAAAGTTACACAAAATCACAATTCTAAGTTGAAAAGTATGTTTTAGAATTGGATGGAAAAACCCGAATCCCGAATCCAATTCTAAAACATACTTTTCAACTTAGAATTGTGATTTTGTGTAACTTTTGGCATAATTAAAAATAAACGCTTGGAAAAATTATTGAACGACAATTATAATTGCGTCGACGAATGCGGGAGGACTGACGAATAATCTTGAGTCTACGCATTACGAACATATTATTGAATCCCGGAAAAAAAATCCCCGACCCTAGGAAAAAAAATCTCCAGACTACAATATTACTCACAACCTCATGCAAATGGTTGAACAAATATTTTTTAAACGTTAATTAGTATCTATAATTAATATTTAATTACAAATACGTATATTATATTCTATTAAAAAAATTATATATTATAAATAATATTTTGTTTTAAATTACGATAATATATTATGTGTAATTCAAATTAAATAACTAACTTAACAACGTTACAAATAGGTGTAGAATATAAAAATATTTTGAATGCTCGGTACGTCAAATAATACAGTTAAACACATAGTATACAAAAATGTTATACAAAATATAGGTAATAAAAATAATATAAATAAATAACTATAAATAATTTTTGAAAAATCAACAACAACATTTTATATTACTATATTAATACACATTTTATGTTGGCATAATTCTGTAAAAATTAAATCCCTGAAATAAAATATTACGTTTTCAAAACTTCAAATATTACTTATGATTGTTGTGTGAGGTGTAATGTACACAAATATATAAAGTATAAAAATATTTCGAGTGATCGATACGTCAAAGAATACAGTTCAAAACATAGTAGGTATATAAAAATATTATAAAAAATTTAAAATATAGGTGGTAAATGGTAATATCAATAATAATAATAACTATAATCATAATAAAATAATTATTAAACAATAATTTATTGAATTTTGAATGTATTATAGTCACCTACTCACAGTAAAAACATAACATATACAAGTATTTAGTAGGTATATAATATAGTAGGTATACAAACATTTTATACGAAATATAGGTGGTAATAATAATGATAATAATTATAATTATAATCATAGTAAAATTATTATCAAACAATTAATAAAAAAACATAGCATACCTATATAAAAATATTTCGAATGTATCGATCATAATAATTGTCAATAATATAAAATGGTAATAATAATAATAAAATAATGATCAAACAATTGTTAGATATAGTTAATTAGTTTAATTAGTTAAAAATATAGCATAAAAAAATGAATAGGTACCTAGTCACTGCTCACAGTTAATTATTAGATTGTTTTCTAATGTTATGGCTTATTGAATTTAAAAAATCAGGAATATTTATTTTTCCACTTACAAACCTGGCACAAAATTCTTGTAATCTACTTTCTGTCGTCCTTATTTGTCCAAGTTTGGTCGTTTTTTTATTCCTTTCTCCAACGTCATCCAATGCTAATTTTGCATAATCCGCCGCAACCTCATATTTCATTTTTCTAATTAAATGCCAAACTGTGGGATGTTTTATACCAATTAAATTAGAAAATCGATTGTTCCACCCTTCTGTAACATTATTTGTCCTGTGTCTATTATTATCAGTGGATATTGTACTTTGATGTACATTCCATGTACAAGGTGGGAAAGCTGGAGGAATCCTCCGAAGACGAATATTGGAATCGTCTGTCCCTATTCTTTTAAAAATGGCTGCCCAAAATCAGTTTTGCAGCATTCATGACGGCAAGTTCAAAATCCATATTTAAGAAAACGGGATCGGGGTATTTTCCTATTTTTTCACACTCGGTCATTATTGTCCGAAACAAATGTTCATATGTATATTGGGTTTTGCGTTCAAGAATACAGTAAACAGCTGTAATAAAAATTGAATTTTTTTTTAACTCGAAATACATACAGCTAATTAAAGTATTCAGGTGCAAGTCCAAAATTCCCATCTATGAACCAAGTATTAGAACTTGCTAATAATGATAATCCAGAGTCTGTGGCAAATATCAGTACTCGTTCATTCGCATCTGGACCATTGTCATTTAATAAAAAACGTTTTTCTCCGTATAAGCACCAATCGCCTATAACATTTTTTTTTTTTAATTTTTAGATTCTGAGCAAGCGATGAATGTATTGATTTTACTATATAAATTAGGCACAATTTTTTTTAATATGCATTTAAACTTTAAAGTTTGATTTTTGACAACAGTATTACGCAACAAAATGGAAAGTGTTCAATTTGTATAGGTAAAGTTTTTTTTCATAGTTTTTTTTGATAGAATCCCGGAAAAAAAGACCAAGGAAAAAAAGACCACGGAAGAAAAGGACAATTTACAATTTTTTAAAACTACATTTAAAACCGAGAATAATCATTTTAGTTATTTTGTTGTAATTTTATAATTAATATGTACATTATAATATATTTTTTGGATATTATACACAATTTAAATTTAGTAAAAGGAGAAATTACCTTCATTACAAATTTACATAATATTATTTATACAACCATCATGTAAACAGTATACACACAGAAAATTGCCTATATTGAACTCCTTAAAAATACAAATCTTCATCTCTATATTATTATATTAAATACAATAACTTGTGGTATAATAATATAGAGTAAAATAAATTTTTATTACTAGAAATTCCTTATGTAGAGATCACAGTGACCTTTTCACACTTTATCATAAAATATAACTAGTGGTAAAATATAAAGTAAATATTTTATTAAATACAATATAATTTGTGGTATAATATAGAGTAAAATAAATTTTTATTACTGGAAATTCCCTATGCAGAGATCACAGTGACCTATGTAGACATTTTCATACGTTTATGCTATTATTTTAGTGAACAACATTTAGTCTGTTGACAGTCACTGAAGTGTCAAAGTGTTTTAAATAATATAAAAATTTGAAATGGAAGTTTTTAAATCCAACAAAGGCGGTGACAAAATGCCTTTTGAAGTATACCGTTAAATACGTTTGTGTAAATCATATTACATGGAGATGTTCAAAAAGAAATAGTACAAATTGTCTCGCAATACTAAAGACTAGTATCTTGAAAACGAACCATTCTGTGACAATAGGACATAATCACTTTGCGAACAAATCCGAAGTAAATGCCATGATAGCTGTATCAAAAATGAAAAGATGCAAAGACATCTGGTGCAAATCCAGTATTAATCCATATTTTGACTTATTTACAACATCGACTGTTTACACTTTACAGTGTTACCAGTGTTACAGTACTATATTTCATATTATAAAATTACAACAAAATAACTAAAATGATTATTCTCGGTTTTAAATGTAGTTTTCAAAAATTGTAAATTGTCCTTTTTTTCTGTTGGTCTTTTTTCCGTGTTCTTTTTTTCCTTGGTCTTTTTTTCCGATTACCTTTTTGATAGGTTTTAGATTTTTGGTAAGTTTCAGATCCTATGTTTTTAAGTAATATTAGAGTAAACGAAATAAACAAAAACATTTTGTAAATTTAAATTATGTTTAAATTCTTTTGAGACAATATTTAGACAAATCGATATGATTCGATACTCTAAGATTACTTAAAAACATTAGGAAAATGAAAAATGATTCTGCGTAAATGGGTTTTGTCTATTATACTCGTATGTTGCGTGTGGGCCAGAGAGACAAAACAAATAATACGTTGACATCCTCTTAAAGTTAAAAATATAGACAATTTATAGATTGGTAATTTAAAAATATTATTTGGAAGTATATTATTATATTTTAACACACAATGACATTTTCATATTTTCAAATATAATTTATAGCAATATATAATAAATATATAAATAGTAAATACCTTCAATGACTAATTCCTTTCTACTTGCTGGTTTTGAAGGATCGTTGTAACCTCTATGGTTTCGAATTGTCCGTTTTACGTGTTCTTCTTTTGGCAATTCTAATAATACTGCATGTGGTACATTACTCACAGACTCAGCAAATATTTGACTCGGTGTTGCATTTGATATTTGTGCTTTTTTCTTCATTGTATTTTGTAGTTTTAAAGCAGCGACTGCATTTTTATTAGAATCATGTACATGGTCATGATCAAGACCAACAAATATTGGATTTTCAATATTTAAACTTGTCTTAAGTACACTCGGACATTTTAAAGAGCTAAATTTAGAATATCGCCAACGTAAAAAATTTGAACACTCTTTTTGAAAATGATAAATAAAGCCGATGTGCGCAATTTTAGGTTTTTTACCATTAGTTTTCAAAATTTCCAGCGTTTCCATAGCGTTGTCGTTTTGTACTTGTGTATCGTGTACTAAATTTGTAGCTACTGAGGTCTGAGACCTACATATAATATGTGGTACACTGAAAATCGTTGCTAATTTTTATTGTCATACCCGGATACCCACTTATTTTAAGATTACGAGTATCCAAATTATGTTCGTGAGCTCATTACAGATTAGATAGGTAGGTGTAACCTTTTACCTTATATTATACTAGCTAATCCCGTGCACTTCGTTTCTCGTTAAATGTACCAACTCTATATGACTCAAACATTGTTAAATGCGTTATTTAATATTCGGTGTATGATGTTCTAGATTTATCTTAACTTTTCTGTTGCCCGGAATAAAAATTCTGAATTGCAGCAGTACATTATCAGATAGGTAATTTACCTGCGGTAGATCGCGGACCCCGTGCTGTTTGTACGTAAGTGTATGATTTAACTCAAAAAGTACCAAAGTTATACCAAGTTTGGCGTTTTTACTTAATTCCAACTACCTATAAATCCTAACCTAACATAACCGTACTAAAATCCGATGAATAAAAAAAACCAAATTTAACCCATTTTAAATTAGCGTATCTTCTTCCCATAGGTGTAATCTACACACCGTCATTCATTTATATATAAGATATATTTACAAAAAATAATAATACAAATCAACAAACATGCCCGATTAACCAATAGCAACCAATATAATATAATACACCATAGAGTAAATAAAGACAACGGTATCGAGTTCAAATCCCAGACATCAATAAATAGTTTTTGCAGTTTTTCTAATTATTCGGTTGACTTTTTAAAAATTTTCTTTCGTAAAAACCTTCACCTGGCAATTACGAACATCTTAAAAATAATTTGAGCAAAATCGGCCAAGCCGTTCTCAACTGATGCAATTTCGAATTTTTTGTCTCCATTTTTATATATATAGATATTATCAAAGGTACATACTAAACCGCTTATCGTCAAAATGTCACAGAAAACGCAATATTTTATTTCGGGGATTCAATTTTTACAGAATTATACCAACATAAAATATATAGGTACCTATATTTTGTATATTATTTTTGTATACTATGTTTTTAACTGTATTATTAATTATTATTATTAATTTACGTATCGATCATTCTAAATATTTTTATAATTTTTTTAACAATATAATATAATATAATATAATACCTATACGTATTTGTCATTAAATATTAATTATAGATACTAATTAACGTTCAAAATATATTTGTTCAACCATTTGCATGTGATTGTGAGTAATATTGTAGCTGGGGATTTTTTTTCCGGGGGATTTTTTTTCCGATTACCAAAAACAAACTAGCTAATTTTGTAGTATATTTATGAATTGCTTTTTTATATAAACTAAATGCCTTTTTTTACATTTTAAATGCTTTTTTTATTGATTATATTGCCTTCAAATCCGAACCCTAGTTATCAATAATATTTTGATAGAAATAGGTATCACACAGTATGTTTGAAGTGCGAATTTCTCATTTTAACTATTTAACTTAATTTAATATTATTATAATTTGGTTATTACATTACTTTGTTTTTAGTTATTAAGTTGTATAATGGATGAATACGAGATTGATTTTCTACTAAATGAATTGGATAATGATGACGATTAACGTAAGTTTCAAAAACATTATAGTTTAATTTTAATGTACATTGTACATATGGCCTAACATACATTAATAGTATCATAATTAACTACAGTAGTAACGGTTACTAAGTAACCTTTTTATATTATTTCTTCTTATTACAGAGTGGGATGAAATAATCCAAGATAATAATATTAGTATGAATTCTATCAATATTTATGATAATTTACCTAATGAACTAATTGATAATTTGGTTAATATGATTTAGATTTAAAATAATAAATAAATAAATATAAATCTAACTATAAAAACTAATTATTAAATATTAAGTACCTATTGCATTTTGTTAACAATCTTTTAGTCAAGTATTAATAAAAATAAAACACAAATTAATTAATGGTGATAAAAAGTATTTTTATTTTGTATATAGTAAGACATTACATTATTTTAATTCAGATATAATTTTATTAATCAAAGGACTTGGCTTATCTGACTTTAATTTTATGTTATAAAAAAAACGTTGGAGAAATAACCAAACATTTAGTGATTCTATAGGATATTCAATATTGAATACATGATAAATTTTGATGCAGATATCTAGTGTTTTAACTATTGAAAAAAATGTGTTCTTAATTTCATCAAAATATACCTACTAAAGTTTGACTTGGGTCACTATAGTTCCTACAATTAATAAACAAGGTTGAATTGGATTATTTTTGCTTTATTTTAACTTCAACATTTCTTAAAGTTCGACAGCTGGGTTGGCTACCATAAGAAAACTATTTTGCAAATCCTCAATGGAAAATTTAACCGAATATTTTCTTCCATTTGTATCTGAGAAGGAGGTTTTAGATGTTGGTAAAAACACAGCATGAAGTAGGTATATAACTACAGAATGTTTGGAACCTAAACATAAGAAAATATATTAATATTCTCAGTATAGTAAATAATTAAATGACACATGTTGTAGTGAGAAATGCCTTCAAATATATCATGCATTATATCTACACAATAGTTACTTGTAACATGAAATTAATTGATCTGATTCAAAATACTTAATTTATTAACACCGGTTTGTGAAAAATCTCTTTTTTCTACATCATCTGTGTAATTGTGAATATTATGTAGTAAAGTTTGGTCCTCTTCAGTTAAATAATTTGATACATTTTTATGTACTTTACAAAATCTACAAAAATAGTTAACAGAGAAAGATTTACTGAAATAGCAAATACAGTTTAGTCCCAGATTATCACCAGTTATTAAACCAAGAATAAAATAAATTAGGTTTGGACCATCAGAAGTGTTAACGCTTAAGGTGACCAAAATAATAATGAACAGCCTTGTGGTTTTATATAATATGTGGACTGTATATTACAATAAACTGTTAATTGCCCGTTTGGCACAATAATGATAATAATAATAATAATAATAGTACAAAATATAATTTCAGTTGCCTCTTTGGCTATAACAACTAATAATAATAATACATGATTTAACAAAGCCTGAATGGCTGTAATATACAATAAATATATAATGTTTTAGGACCCGTCGGTCATACATACACATATTTGGTCGACCAATACTCACAAAACACAAAAACGAACAATGACAACATGATGCCGCCGAGGAGAGACCGCTGAGTCCATGACTCCACCGCCTCAACAAACACAACCACACGTTGATAATGTAACCACCCTAAAATGGGGACAAAAATTATTAGACAAAATTGTATCAGTGTGTATACGGTTACCAGACGAATGAATGCCTGTATTGCGATACACAGATGTACTGTAACACACGTGGTTCGGGACGACTGCAAAAAGCTCATGCTCCAAAAATGATGAGACAACCAAGAAGCTTATGACGATGAGAGCATGACGGGAACAAAAAACCAACTTGAAGTTTTGAACATAACCAAAAAATATAACGAACATTGATAATTATTCCACAGCTGGCCGGTCACACACGAATGCCTGATAAGCATCCGCCGACGAAGGCTGCAGCTGTGTAACGCACTGATTCGTACACATGAAAATGATAACACAACATAAATTTGTTTGCAGAGCAAACAAGAAGTATTGATTATAAGCCAATCTTCTTCCAAAGAATTTATATCTTCAATCAGTTTTTTAAAACATAAATCAGTCCCAAATGATTTCAAGTCCTTAGATTTTAAAAGAGCAGCAAGAAAAATATGTGTAAGTTTTGAACTTTGTTCAATTAATGGAAAACTATAATAAACTGCTGAAATAGAATGACACATGGATTTAGATCCTAGTGGATTATTTATTTCATAATCATTAAAAATTAATAAATTCTGATTATTAAAATAAAATCTATATTACACAGAGAACAACGGTGTACTATAAGTTGAGATGTACAATTTTCACACATAACTTCATGGCCACAAGGAACAGGCTCATGTGTTGCTAAACCCTCTAAACAGTCTAAACATATAATGCAAAGATTTTGATCAGGTGTTACACAATATTATTCTGGGTGTTCTGGCACTTGAACAAATGGAATTTCTTCGTCATCTTCTTGAAAGGGTCCATACATGTTTTGAATAACAAATGTATTTTATTATATTTAGCTATAATTATATTTAATTAATTACAACCAATATTTATACAAATTAGTAACAGTTAATCAGCATTCACAATATAAATTTAATAAAATAAAGAATGTCATATTTGCAGTCATAAGTAGGTGCATTGAATTAATTAGAATAATTAAAACAAGTTTTATTTAAAATAGTTTTCTAGTTGCTTGGATACTTTTATAATTATGTTTATAACTGTTAATAGTTAACAAATGTTAATAGATATTTCAATTATTGATACATTAATATTATGTAAATACCCAATAAAAATTCACTAAAAATTTAACCATATATGAATCATATTTCAAAAATATAGGTTCCTATTTGAAATTTAAAAGTTACCTATTATTTTCTCTTATTTTTTATTAATAAAAAATTAATTCATCTAGAATATATTTTGATAACAAATTGTTTTCACATAGGTCATATTTTCCTAATCTACATATTTCATACTGAAACATAACAAAACATAACATTTTGAAGACTGTCCGTGAAGTTATTGATCTAAGTATATTTGTAACAATATGCCAAATTTTAGTA